CAAAGCAGGCTTCCGTTGTTTTTGGCAGTGTGTGTGTGTGTGTGTGTGTGTGTGTGTGTGTGTGTGTGTACTGGGGATTGAACACAGTGTCTGGGTGCTGTCCCTGAGCTTTTCTACTCAAGGCTGGTGCTCTACTATTTGAATCACACCTCTGGTCCTGTTCCTTTATTTTTTTCAGATAAGTTCTTATGTTTTCACTCAAATGGAGATCCTCCTATCTCCTCCTCCCTTATAGCTGGGATTACAAGTGAAAATACTAAGTGGGTCCTTCAAACATGGTTTTTATTTGTTGGTCATGGGGTTTAAACTCTGGGTCTGGGCGCTGTCCCTCAGCTCTTCAGCTCAAGGCTAGTGCTCTACCACTTGAGCCGCAGCGCCACTTCCAGTATCCTGGTAGTTTATTGGAGATGAGAGTCTCACAGTTTGCTGTCTGGGGCTGGCTTTGAACTGTGATCCTTAGATTCCATCCTCCTCAGTAGCTAGGATGACAGGCGTGAGCCACTGGCACCTGGCTTCTAATTCCAATCTTTCAACCAAATAAAGGTTGATTTTCCTGTCGCTCATCTGGCAAGATGCATAACCAGAGCTGTGTTTTCTGAGCTTCGGTAAGATTGTCACTGACTTTCCATGGAGTGACTTGGAAAGGTTCTAAATGGGTAATTTTAGGACATGCAAAAAGGAGGTATTTTTTTGGTGCCGGTCCTGAGGCTTGAACTCAGGGCCTGGATGCTGTTCCTGAGCCTTTTTTTAATCGTGGGGCTTGAACTCTGGGCCTGGGCGCTGTCCCTGCGTTCTTCAGCTCAAGGCGAGCGCCATACCACTTGAGCCACAGCGCCCCTTCCAGTTTTCTAGTGGTTTATTGGAGATAGGAGTATCATGGTCTTTCCTGCCCAGGCTGGCTTTGAACCGCGATCCTCAGATCTCAGCCTCCTGAGTAGCTAGGATGACAGGCGTGAGCCACCGGTGCCCGGCTTCCTGAGCTTTTCTGATCAAGGCTGGCACTCTACCACTTGAGCCCCAGCTCCATTTCTAGCTTTTGTTTGCTAGTTAATTGGTGCTAAAAGTCTCACAGACTTTCCTGCTCAGGCTGCCTTCACATTGTGAGCCTCGGAGCTCAGCCTCCTGAGCACCAACGTGTAACTCTGCACCACTCTGCGGGTTCAAAGCCATCCCTGGAACCCAGCATGTCCATCATAGAACCCAAATCCCCCCCCTCCAGTTACCTCACTCAGAGGAGCCCTACGGCCTGGAACCCCCAGAACCCAGGCTTTGGGGTGAGCCGGACTGTTGGCCCTGCGGTTGCTTTAAAACACTGCTGCTCTCTTGCACCCAATCTGGCTCTTGTCCTGTTGCTCACCCTCTCCGCCCCTGCCAGGCAACTCAGACCCAGGCTGCTGTAACCTCCCCCTCCCCGACCCCATACCCCTTCCTCCGAGGTCCTGGAAGGCTCTCAGGAAGTGTGCCCTTCCCTAGGTGCAAATACCACTTCCTCCAGGAAGCCCTCCATCCTGACACAGCACACTGAGCTTCCCTCCTAGTGCAGGCTACCTGCGATCACCTGACTGTCCTAAGGGGGCTGCACTGGTGGCGCTGGTCTCCAGGCAACCGCCAGCACACAGCAAGCATGCAATCCTCGCAGCTGGATGATTGACTGGATCTACTTCTCAGTCCGCTTAGCAGTGTGTGTTGGGGAGAGGGCTGAGCCCTGGGAGCAGGAGATGGAATGAGAGGGGACCAGGCCACAAGGGGGTTAAGGAGGATGGGGGTCCTAGAGAGGCTGTGACTCAGGAGAGGGGCCCCCACTCCCTGCACAATGTGCGCACGCCAGTCCCGGGGACTGAACTTGGGGCCTGGACATTACCCCCTCAGCATTTTTTCCTCAAGGCTGGTGTCTTACCACTTTTGCCACAACTCCACTTGGGTTTTTCTTTCCTGGTTAATGGGAGATAAAGAGTTTGTGGATTCTCCTGCCTCACTGACTTCAAACTGTGATCCTCAGATCGCAGCCTCCTGAGTAGCTGGGATTACAGACGTGAGCTACCACACCCAGTCACTGGACCACTGGAGATGGCGGCCCATGGCATGTCTTCTTCAGTCTTCTTGGAGCCCCAGGAAGGGTGAGGGGAGGTTTGGAGCGCTGCCTGGGTCCCCTCTGCTCCCGGTCCAGCAGGACCACCCCGCCAAGGGGACCAAGGCCCCCACAGAGCCTCCCATGCCATCTTTATTCGCGGGGCTTGAACTGAGGGCCTGCGTGCTGTCCCTGAGCCTTTTCAAAGCTCAAGGCGAGCGCTTTATCACTCTGAGCCACAGCACCACTTCTGCTTTTCTGGTGGTTCACTGCACACAAGAGTCCCATGGACTTTCCTGCCCGGGCTGCCTTTGAACCTCCATCCTCAGATCTCAGCCTCCTCAGTAGTTGGGATGACAGGCGTGAGCCACCGGCAGCGCCCGGCTCCCAGGCCATCTTCTGAGACCCAACTCTTGTCCCCAGCCCAGTGGCTGTGGCATCCCGCCTGGGCAGGCCGAGACTCCAGCCTTGTGCCGAGGTCCTGAGTGACAGCAGGAGGGGCGGGCACAACTCCAGACAGCAGCCTATGAATGGGGAGGGCCCCGGATGCTCCCCCCCTCACCCCCAAGAGCCTGAGGGACCCTGGTGCCAGGCCCAGAAGGCAGCTGGAGGGGAGAGGGGTGGGCGGTCGGACACAGGACACTCGCTCGTGCAGCTGACACAAAGCGGCCATGCTGCCCCAGCCCCACTCACGAGAGACAGGGACGGACAAGATGGCACGTGGGGAACGGAGCTCAGCGGGGCACCGAGGCGGGCGCTGGTGCCGCGTGGAGTGGTTTATTGAGATCCATCTCACAAGGCAGGGATGGGGGGGGTGGGGGGGATGGCGGGGGGGGGGCGACAGCACAGGACAGACGCCTGCTTCGGGCGCATGCAGGCTGCGACACGGTGAAGCGCAAACGCGGCACGGGACACGGGGTGGGGACACGAGGCTGGGGCGATCGGCCGTCCCCCCACCCCACCCCCCACCCCAAAGGGGCGGGAAAAGAAAAAAAATAAGATTCGTACTTCTTGTAAAACGCCCATTTTGCTGGGTGCTTTCTTTCTCCTTCTCTTGAAAAAATAATAAAAAATAAACACACCAAAAAAAAAAAAAGTCTCAAAAAAAGGAAAGGAATTAAAACCTCAATGGAAGGTGAGCGATCGGAGGCCAGAGGAAAGAGGCCCGAGGAAGGAGGCCGGCTG